GTGGTGCTTTGCTCCTAAGTTACATCAACCAGACGAAAGGCAACTTTACATCGCTGGGTGTAAACGTACCAGTCGGCACTTCTGATGCTGGTAGTTACTTTAACAACCAAGTGCTCGAAAACGTGGACTTTGCCGTACGTTGTTCTGGATGTACAATGCTACGACACCAACTAACTTGGTCAATTATAATTAGATGTCTAATATCCACGGCTGGTTTGCCAATCAAACCATCAATAATGCGGCTACCTGGGTTACCAACTTCTTCGAGACGACCAACGTGCAACCGGGTGCTTCGCTGACCCCCTCTGTCAGTTTCGGGAATCCTCTTGTATGGCAGATTTGCTAAAATTTCCATAGCCCAAGTTCATGATTGGTGAAACTGGATGGCCAACTGTGAGTGCTACGCAGCCTGAACTACGTTTATGCTAAAACCATGCCAGAATTCGTCGGACGTTAGCAATGAGACTAATGGTGCCTCCAATGCATCTGTCGCTGATCTACAGATATTCTTGGATACTTTTGTTTGTCAATGCAATCAACAAAATATTTCCTACTTTTTCTTCGAGGTACGTATCTAGTTGCCCTGATCGAGTGTTTGACTAAGAGCGCGCCATGCTACCCTAGTACATGGACGAGCCGTGGCAGGTAAGCTGCTTGTTCTCATGATATTATCGGCACTTAATACATACCTGTTTTCCTCAGGGCAAACAATTTGGCGGTGTCGAGGTTCGTCTTGAAAAAATTCTCGATTTTATGATACTGACCAGTTCTGAAGGGTTATTGGGGCCTATTCATGGCCAAGTGAGTTCTTTATCCTCTATGCAGTTGACTTAATATTTATCCTAATCTCCAGTGGTACTATGAAGAACCTTAACATCCCGAATTGCACTGTATCCTAAATGTTTATTTACGAAACCATCCTGGATTAACCGGACCTCGCTTTTTTATACCACTTTTATTGTACAGACTTTTATTCATTTTGTTCTGAGGTTTTTCGTACGATGTAAGCTTTTTACATGAACTGAGAGTTTATAGTATTTATACAAGGAACTTAAAGTTCATTCGCTATGTTTTATTATGTAAGGCGCGGAGAAGACGCTGACCACGAGCCATGTCTACCTTCGACCCACTCGGCTCATCGTCCAGCGCAGGTTTTGGCAATGAAGATGTTCTAAATCCCCCCTGGCCGACCACACCGCACGCTCGCGACTCTGTACCAGCCATTTTTGGCGCATCCTCAATTCCCCCTACGCCTCAGAAGGGGTCAAGTCCCGGCTTCTACGGAAAGGAACCCAGGATATATGGGCAACCAGAACCTGGCCTTATATCTCCTCGTGAAAACGTTGGCGCCAGCGGCGCAAGCTACGAGAAGCGAGAGCCTTATCTCAAAGTGCGAATCACAGGATTTGACAGGAACCGAAGGGACATTCTAATAAAGCTTGACGCCCAAGTGAGTTGGAAAGCCAACAAGTCGCACTCTCTGACACATAGCGCATTAGACCAACCTTTCCAATTTTACCAATCATAGTTATCGCAATGTATCTCGCACGTATCATGAATTTCAACAACTTTACGAAGCCATTTTCACAAGCAACCCGCAGACTATTATTCCTGCTCTTCCATTGGCACAGACGTCCGCACCTACGGATGAGGAGGATGACCGGCTCGTAAAGATTATGTTGCAGAGATGGGTCACGAGGGTCTGCGAGGACCCTATCCTCATACATGATGAGGACATCCGTTCCTTCATTGAGAGTGACTTTGGATATCAGCCAATGCCGCGGCCTAAACGGAAAGCATCTGCAGGATTCAGTCTTATCCGGAAGGGGGTGGCAGACGAGGATTCGGAATTGCAGAAGGCCCGTTTTGAACTCACTAAACTGGATGGACTCTTCTTCGAGTCAGCAAAGGCGGTGGACAGACTTGCGATTTCTCGAAAATGTCAGTCTAACCCGGAAAATGTTCGTCTCTTGTTGATCATGGCATTTTAGCCCTGGCCAGTGCACACGCTGAGATGGGTAACAAACTTATCAATGTCGCCACGGGAGAAGCACATCCTCCCTTATCCAACGCTTTCCGAAAGATTGGAAGAGTTTGGCATAGTTTGGCTGACCTTGATCATGCTCAGTCAATCAGTGAATGCGTTGTGCTCGGCGATTCGTTTGGCTATCAAGGCATGAACGCCCGATCTGCCAAAGACACGCTGCAAATGCGGACAGGTGTTTTGGAGGAATATCAGGCGGCTGTCAAAGTCACGATCTCTAAACGAAGACAACTCGAGCGCTTGAAAGCCAGTTCAAACATACGACCTGAGCGTGTAGATGAGGCATTGGGAGAAATGGAAGAGGTAAAAGAATTTCATTTGTCTGCTCAGAATGCTTATGCTTGCCTTAGGCAGACAAATATGAACAGATTCTTGCACGGAGGGCGGAGGGTATTTCCCAGAACCTTCATCGAGCCCTTCGAACTTACAATCATCACGCCAACGATGATATCATGACCGCCCTGATCGAACATGCTCGTTCGTCGATCATGTATGAGAAACAGCTCTTGCGTGAACTTGAAGCGCTGAGAGTTGATGTGGATTCAGCCGCCAAAAAAGTTTTACCGCCCGCCAACGGCGTACCAAAACCAAAAATTATACCGCCTCTCGAGGACTTTTCAGATCATCCACTTCCGCCACCCTCGGCGCCTGCCGTCAATGGCCATCGCTCTCATGTACCACCACACCAAGCTATTCCACATACTGCAGTGCCTTCTAATCAACGATTTCACGTTCCACGACTTCCTGGTCTTCCGCCAGAGCCTGTTTCTGCGACCTCCACAATATCACATGATTCTTCTGAAGGATCCTTGTCTCCTGCGTCAACCACGACACAGGTCAAACAACCGTTGTCTTTGCCATCTGGTCCTTCCAATGGCATTACGAACGTGACATCACCCCCTCTTAAGGGACGACTTATCGACGGAACAAAATCAATGATCGTCCAGTCAACTTCATCGCATAGTCAAGGTGCTCCCGTAGCGTCATCTACGTCGGATTTGCCCAATGCGACGGCTCCTACACAAGATCCTCTGCAAAACCGTCCGTCGCAGTCAGCTCAAGCGCCATCTTCGGTTGATCCATTAGGCGCATTGAACAACCCAACACCACAATCCAAGTTGCGGCCACCGATTAGCACTGATCCTCTTGCAAATGTAAAACCAAACCAGATGAGCAGTTCAATGCGTTTGCCACCGCACAGGCCGAGGTTGGACCCACGAGAGGCAGCCAGCAAGTTAGCTAACATGTTTTGATTTTCTGCTGGATGAAGTTTACGCTGCGATACCGTATGTATAGCTATGTTGTTATTATACCACGGAAAACGTATGGACGTTAAGTTCAGCCGATGATAAGATACGAATACGTATGTGGACCCAAATCCGCTATATAATTTACTACATTGTTTCCATTACGGCTGTCGGCGTTGTATGTCATGTGACCGGGTGACCCGGGAAACTATCATGTCCAACGACCAGAAAGTCAAGGAACAGGACCTCAGCCAGACTCACGAACCAAGTTCCCCTGCGTCCTGAACCTCCGAGCCCGGGTGGTCGCGAAAACAGCAATTTACAGGCCACCGACCAAGGCGAACTTGACAGATCAGAACTGTTAGGGCGTGCTCGATCATTTCTTGCGTCTCCGCAAGTTGCGCATCAAGACGCATCGATTAAACGGAAGTTTCTTGCAGAGAAAGGGTTACGTGATGTTGAAATTGATGCTGTCCTGCGAGAGGTAGTAAGTCATTCACTTTCGCATTGTGATACCAACTTATCCGGTCTGTAGCCATCATCTACTCCGACAATTCCACCGCGCACTTACCCACCGTCTGCCCCATCCAATCTACCCACTCTTCTCCTTGGATTTGCTCGAATATTTTCATGGATAGCTGGCGGGTCTGCTGTACTTGTGTTTATCTATTGGGTATGTTCTGTCATAGATGTTTGGGTACGGTATTACTCACTCAATTCTCAGCGCTTCCTTCTTCCTCGCGTCACGCAAACACTCATTGCTCGACAGTCGTTAAGATCTCATTATAGCACGCTTCTGCAGAAATTCACGTTGTCACTATCCGCTCTTAAAGAATCCCAATCAGAATCATATTCCGTTCTACCTCACTCAGAGCCATACACAGAGCCGACTGCGTACTCCAACTGTCGAAGCATAAGCGAAGTCTTGAAGCTTCTTGACCAGAATGAACCAGAATATACGACAATCCCTCCAGTTACTCTTCTTCGTATTTCCATCACAAATGAACAAAACCTCACACCGCCTACCACAGAGGATGTATTTCGGTATATGGAAGATAAAATCCCATGGTTGGTATCCGAAGATGGACGGGTGTTTGAAGTACGAAAATCTTTTCCAGAAATTTGTCGTCGAGCTAATCTCATATTAAAGCAAGCTCTATGGGAAACCTTGAATACCTGTCCTCTCTTTAGTCGTAAAGAGGACGAAACAGGGAAGAACGAAATGATTCGTTGGACATACAACCCCCAAAATCCGCCAGAACCTACCCAATTGCAAAAATCTCTTGACGACCTCTCAGCTTCGCTGCCAAAAACAAGAACGCAAGGCTCCAAGTACCAGCACGCCATGCAGGCGCTTTCTGACTTGACAGGATATATTAGTTCACAGGTTTATTTGCCTTACAGGGGCCTTTCAGGTGTTGGTGGATTTTCGGGTAGTAGCAGCAGCTTGCTGAGTCCTGCAGAAGAAGAGTTGCGCCGGGAGATCCGAGCGCTTAAAGGGCTAGTTCTGAATCGGTGAGTTTAGAGCGGCTATGCGTTCCTCAGGCTGGCTAACGGAATCACCACAGCCGATCCTTCATGGCGACGATTCCTCGTCCCAATCCATCACCACAACAACCTATAACTACATAATAGAAAGTGTTAGTGTGTATGTTGTCTCTTGCTGAGTAGCAATTCGATATCATTTCCGGGATTAACCTATATTACAAGTCCGTATCGATTAGGGGTTAAATCACCTCGTTGTGGAAAACACCCCCGAGGAGCCACTGGTTCGATTCCAGTTACGGACATTTCTTTTTTTCTTAAATCGTTTTTGCAAATGCCATCTGGCATCATTAATGGATCATTGCTGATAGCAACACAAATTGATGCATGATAGATGATATAAAAAGAATTGTACGTACAGCATTAATTTGAATATCATAGGCTCTCTGTATAATCTTTGCAACGTCAAACTCAAGCTCGTGATATCCATCATTCGTCGTTGCGGCAAACATGCCCATATGAGCCCATATCTCATTCGTGACAAGCGAGTTTTCCACTGGCACAAAATGAGGTGCAGTTGGCCATGGTAACAGTATAAAAGTTCGAGAACTTGGATGTTTTGGTGGAGCCGGCGGTAGCCGTACATAAAAACTGTCCATGTGTGAATAGGTACGGACCATTATTCTCCTTGCTTACGTTCTGAAGAGTATGCCATGAGACTTTTCGAGGTTGATTAAATCTTTGACGCGTTGCATCATAACTTTCTTGTCCCAAAGGTGGCTCACGAATTTCACATGATCCGTAGCCCACTTGTAACCTTGACCTAACCCCTCCCGTAAATACCAGGCGCTTGTGATAACGGCGCCGGCAAGGACTGCGCCCGCAATAATACCAGGTGCTGAGACTGTGCCCACAACAATACTAGGTGCTGAAAGTGCCCACTGGCCTGTCTCGGTGGTGAGGTGAGGTGCTACCTTTTCAACTTGCACTCGAACCTGTGAAGACATTATGGGCAGAAACGATTGCGCACGCCAAACCCTTCTCAGCCACTTCCATTTTATAATTTACCCCCAAGTACTGTGGAGATAGCATGTGGACCGGCTTGAAGAGCAGGTGCATTATAACTTACGGGTGTATCGAAGGAGACGCAGGCAACTATTCTAGGCCAAATCCAAGCTTTTTTTTCTTCACGGAAGGGACGAGCAAGTTTCAAAATGCTATCTGCTGCCAACAAGCCTCCCATGCTGCCAGTGGAGAGTGTCAAGTACGAATATTCAAGCATGGCGGTACGAATTAGTACCTATGACCACACAATACAATCTTGGCGCTTCCAGCTATGCCTTTCTCTTTCTCTACTGTCAAGAGGATCAACCATTTTACAAAATGTGCAACTGCTTCCGTCTGGGGGATGAGTTGGGTGCGTTCAAGGCTTCAAGGACAATGGTGCTCACCAGTTCACCCTTTGTCTACAACAGGGCTCAGTACACGAGATAGGGACGCGAAGCGGACGCACCTCCCAAGTAGGAAAGACAATACATTCTACAGCTGTACGTGGCAATGATTTCGACAGGATGTCCTGGATCCTCTGCGGGAACGTTTTGAAGGACCTGTCATCACCCTTGAAACCGTGAATGAAAATAACGAGAAGCGAGCTGGACTTGGTTTGAACCGTGGTCAGTTGCACTTGCTCATTTCCAGGCGAAGATGCATCTTTCCATGGGTCAAATGCGGTTTGGTCCGTCGTCATTTCCAGAGCATTTCCAGGAGATGCCGCCGCATCTTTCCATGGGTCAGATTCAAACAAGATGTGAGTCTCTTGCTGTGCGTTTTCAGGTGACAGTGCATCATTCCATGGGTCAAACATTCCACAGTGGTACTATACGATGATGACGATGATGACAGGGCGTGCTGGGTGCAAGATAGAAACGTGTTGAAGGTGTGGTCATCGCGTGAATGAAGATACCGAAAAGCAAGCTTCACATTGTTAGCTGATAAGGTTCGATAATACCCTGGGCACTGATCTTACCATCGACACATTCATCGTGCTAATGCTATCATACAAAATTATTCGGTCATGCAAAGCCTGATTTCTTTTTCTTAAATTGTTTTTTGCAAATGCCATCCGACATCATTACTGATAGTAACACAAATTGATGAAATGTTAAATAGCTCAAAGAATTGCATCAAAATAGGGCATCCTCTATTATCTTCGCAACGTCAACCTCAAGTTCGTGATATCCATCATTCGTCGTAGCGGCAAACATGCCCATATGGGCCCATATTTCATTCGTGGCAAGCGAGTTTTCCACTGGCACAAAATGGGGTGCAGCGGGTGCATCTGACCATGGTAACAGTATAAAAGTTCGAGAATTTCGATGTTCTGGTGGAGCCGGCGGTAGCAGTACATACAAACTGTCCATGCGTAAATGCGTCAGGTCTACGGGCTATTATTCTCCTTGCTTACGTTCTGAAGAGTATGCCATGAGACTTTTCGAGGTCAACTAGATCGTTGACTCGTTGCTCCAGAGCTTCCTCGTCCCCAACGTTGTCTAAGAATTTAATATGATCCATGGCCAAGTTATAGAATTGGACAAAGTCATCGCGTTTATACCAGGTGGCACCTGCAAGGATCGCACCGCCGACGGCATAGACTGTTGGTGGAACCCAGCGGTTCCAGCTTATCCTGGGAATGTCAAATAAAGGGGATACCTGTCCGGTGGCTTTCCATGCGCCCAGACCTGCCAAGGCACCGAAGACGGCGGATCCTATGGTTTGCATGGCGTCAACCTCCTCTGTGACACTATTTTTGAAAACGGGCGGCAGTAGCCCAAGGTACTGTGGAGATGACGTTCGGGCGAACGTGGAGAGGGATGGCAGTATAACAGCTTACGGGTGTGTCAAAGGAGATGCAGGCCACCACTCTAGGCCAGATTGAGGCAGCCTTTCCCTTGCGGTGGGGACGAACGAGTTCCAGAATGGTATCTGCTGCTAACAAGCCTCCCATGCTATAGAGTGTCAGGTTAGTACAAGTGTTCGGGTAACAGTACGACGTACCTGTGACCACATAACACGATCTTGACGCTTCCAGTTACGCCTTGCTCTTTCTCTTCGGTTAAGAGGGTCAACCATTTCACAAAACGCGCAACAGCTTCCGTCTGAGAGATGAGTTGGATGCATTCGGGGCTTCGAGGACAGTGGTGCTCACTAGTTCACCCTTTGTCTGCAACAGGGCTCAGTAGTATACGAGGATAGGGACTTGAAGCGAAGACCAGAATACGCACCTCCCAAGTAGGAGAGACAACAGATTCTACAGTGGTATCTGGCAATGATTTCGACAAGATGTCCTGGATCCTCTGCGGGAAGGTTTTGAAGGACTTGTTATCACCCTTTAAACCGTGGATGAAAATAACGAGAAGCAAGTTTGACTTGGTTTGAACCGTGGTTGGCTGCACTTGCGCATTTCCAGGCGAAGGTGCATCCTTCCATGGGTCAAATGCCAGGTCGGGTATTCTGGATTCGATTTGGTCCGTTGGTGACGATGCATCCTTCCATGGGTCAAACATTCGTACGATGGTATATGACGGCTATGATGACAGGGCGTGCTGGGTGCACGATAGGAACGCGTTGAAGGTCTAGTTATCGCCCTTAAAAACGTGGATGAAGATAACGAAAAGCTGCGCATTGTGGCTGATAAGGTCTTGAAATACTCGGAATTCTCGTAATACATGTGTTCCATGGAAGCTTGGCGAAATTCACAGTTTATTGAAGAAAAGCTCGGTGGGATACCGCGGTCAGGAAACAAACAAGTTCATACTGCTTCAGGGTATATCAAAGTACGGTTTCATCTTTTTGCTGTCTCGTCGAGTAGGGCCATTGCGGTGAATGGGGAACCCAATAGTAGGTCATATAAGTCTGTCTTCCTTTTCTCATAGCAGTCCCAGGAACTCGTACGAAGCCGCTAATCAGATTAGTTTATGAAAGCCTGGCAGCTTCAGCAATTGTTTGTCAGTTCTCAGGCGAGCACCTTTACTACTCACTGTTGATGTCAGCGTGCAACGTTCAATAAGACACAAGTGCAATTAAAAATATTTCCTAGTAACCATTTGATAATAAAAGTACAGAATACACATCGTGATAGCTTTAAGCTAAAAGATCATCATTAAATATCTTGGGATTCGGAGTGATAAAGCTCTTGGGTGTGATTGCCAGAGCTTCCTGTATAATCTTCGCTGCTTTAAGCCCCAACTCGTAATATCCATCGTTCGTTGCAGCGGCAAACATGTTCATATGAGCTTGTATTTCATTCGAAGCCAGCCCATTTTTCGCCGGTAGGAAATGGGGAGCAGCGGGTGTATACAACTTTGGTAACAGTATAAACGTCCGTGAACTTGTATGTTCTGGCGGAGCCGGGGGTAGCATCACATAAAAACTAGCCCACACGCGTATATATATAAGCGCATTAAGTAAACCAACAACGGGTCCTGGGCTTACGTTCTGAAGAGTATGCCATGAGACTTTTCGAGATCGATGAGATCTGTGACTCGTTGCTTTAGAGTTTTCTCGTCCCAAAGGACGCCTACGAATTTCATATGATCCGTAGCCCAGTTGTAGCTTTAGTCCCAAGTCATCGCGTTTGCACCAGGCGCTTCCTACAGCGGCACCTGCAAGGACTGCACCGCCGACGGCATAGGCTGCCGGTGCAGCCCAGCGGACCCCAGCCTGTCCCGCCGGAAGCGACAGGCGGAGCGGACACATTTCCGGCGGCTCTCCCTGCGCTCATACCTGCTAAGGCACCGAAGACGGCGGTTCCTACAGTTTGCGCGGCGCCCATCACCTCAGCCGCTTTTGTGACACTATTTTTAAAACGGTTGGTTGTAGCCCAAGGTACTGTGGAGATGACGTTTGAGGCGAGTCGTAGGAGTTATAACAGCAGCTTACGGGTGTGTCAAAGGCGATGCAGGCTACTACCTGTAGGCCAAATTGAGGCAGCCTTTCCTTCGCGGTGGGGACGGACGAGTTCTAGAATGGTATCTGCTGCTAATAAACCTCCCATGCTGGAAGAATTGTCAAGTTAGTACGTCGGACGGGTAGCAACATTACGACGTACCTATGGCCACATAATACAATCTTGGCACTTCCGGCTACTCCTTGTTCTTTCTCTACAGTCAAGAGGATCAACCATTCTACAAAACGCGCGACAGCTTCCGTCTGATGGATGATGAGTTGGGGTCGCTGACTCGAGGTTGACCGTGCTCACCAGTTCACCCTTTGTCTGCAACAAGGTTTAATATAGGACCAGACGCGA